GCAATGAACCGTGCTCGGGGTTTCTTGGTTAGTAGGGAATGAAGGGCGGACAAAGAACGCGGAACTGTTATTTAGGGTTGAATGTTTTGGATTTAGGGTCTAGGAGATGGGGACTGGAAGACAAAGTGAGAACTACTGTATTATAGGGGCTCCGGCCATATACATGTCTCCATTCCTCAATTACTAACAGCCAGCTAGTCGGATCTGCTGGCAAGGGGCTTTCTTGCAGGGCTTTGGTGACTGTATATCTGTGTATATATGGAGTTTTCAGAAATAGCGCTTTGGTGAGTGCATATACATCTATACAGTCTATACATATAGAGGGTTGCGCAGGATCATGGGGAAGTCTTTTTTTTTGTTATCCGTGTGGGAGACCACGAGTGCAGGTCCCACTTCAGAAATTCCCATCGAAACCCCTAGACCTACTAAGCCCCAGTGGGTTTAGGGTGTTAAGGGTTTAGGGTTTATAGCACGTTTAACTTAGGGGTTTCTATCTTCTCTCTAGGGCGGGACTACACCCTCAACATTAGACCCTCAACCCCAAATCCTAAACACTAAAGCCTAAACACTAAACCCCAGACTTGTAGACCGTGGTAAGGCTTATGGCAACCTTCCCAAGCCAACAACGGATTTGAAGATTCGACCATGCCTGCCAGAGCTGGAGTCAGGATCTTTGCCATCTCCTCAGCTCTTGGGCAATGTTCTTATGGGGGCTTTCCAAAATTAGGGGTACCTTTTTGGGGGTCCCTATAATAAGGACAATATATTAGGGTCTTTACTGGGGTCCCCTTATTTAGGGAAACTACCTTGTATGAGCCATAATCTTAACCCCTTGAAGGAGCTTCAATGGACTACTATAGGGGATTATGCAAGGTTTAGGGTTTAGGGTCTAAACTCCTTAAAGGAGGTTATATAAGGGATCATATAGGGGACTGCTTTTAGGTTATTAAGGGGGATACTAGGAGTTTAGACTCTGGCTCATGTAGGGGTTACATAGTATGTCTAAACGGGAATATGGGGGTTACATTGGGGTTTAGGGTATATATGGATAATGGAAAAGAAAATGGAAATTACTATTTAGGAAAAGGGTTTGCGGCCTCAAAATGGGGTAGGGCTTGGGGTTCAGGGTTTAGGACTTAGGATTTATTGTTCAGGGTTTAGAGGCTTAGCTAGGTTGCTTACCATAGTGGAGAATCAGATGGAAAAGAAAATCGAAAATGAGATGGAAACTAGAGTGGTATAGTCATTATAGAAGGTGCCGAGGAACTTGATTTAAGTTACCTGGATACACAGCAAATTATAGGGTGGGTGTCTTGATCATGGTAATCAAATTAACGTTCTTGACAGCAACCCAGAACAGTGTTTCGTTTCGGCACCGCTGGGCCCTGTATTGTTGAAATGTGCTTCCAGAAATCAGGGTACGAGAAGTCTGATTCTCAAGAAACTCCAAATCAGATTCAAGTTCTGAATCAAGGTCTTATCAGAACTCTGCTGGCTACATCTAAACCCTAAACCCTAAACCCTAAACCCTAATTAGTACCAGTTGTGCGAGTCGGCGAGTGAACTTAGGTATCATGCGAGGCCATGGGACCATATAGGGATTATATAGTCCCATTAGGGTTTAGGGTCTAGGGTTTAGGGTTTAGGGATTATATATACTTGGGGTACATTTCGCCACATTCAACTCCAGATCTTATCCCCAACTAATGGTTGGTGTTGTCAATCTTCTTTTCCACTCCCTGCCTGAAGCACCAGTAATAGAAACCCTCATAGGGAGGGAACACCAGGAATACAGTAGGAATATATGAGAAATATGCCGGCCAAAGCCCTTTTTCTTCTTTTTATAGTCGTCCCAGTATATTTTTGGGGTTCCGTGTTTGGGTTCCCATTAGAATCCTTATTGCCTATAAACCCCTATATGAACCAATCTTCCATGTTCTTTCCCATGTGATTTTCTACAGTTGGGGTATCTACACTCTACTATGGGCTATTAGACCGTAAAATTCCCTATTAGGACCCTATTAAGGGTAGATTTAGGTATCTTAAGGTCTAATGGCCAATAGTGGTTAGGCTCCTTCGGGAAGATGACCTGCAGCTAACAGCCTACGAATCGCTGTTCCCGGAGCCCCTCGCGGATCCGTCGGCGTCCTCCTTTCAGGGCGGGGAGGAGGGGAGTTTCTTCACATTTCCAACAGCTCACCATTTAAACCCAAACACCTAAACCCTAAACCCTAAACCCTAGACCCTAAACCCTAAACCCTTTAGGGTGCCAGGGTTTAGGGTTTTGGGGTCTAGGTTTGGGAGGGGGGAGGTTTCACCCTGTTATGGCTTCTGTGTAATCTGGAGTTCTGAAGAGATAAAGCGAGTGTTTGGAGGATGTAGGGGTTAGATTCGATTGCGGCGGCATGTGACTGTTTTTGGGAAGTGTATGTTTAGAATCTTGAAGTGCAGATACGGGGCTTGTTAAAGAACACCCGTATCTTTTCATATCCACTAGGTGCTGAAGAGCAAAACCCTAAACCCTCAACTTTATACCCTAAACCCTTAACCCCAGGACGCGGGCCGACGTCGCCTGGAGTACTACGTGGCTGGGCCTCTGGAGACCTATGCAGACACCAAGAACCGGAGCTTATGTGGAACACATTTTTTTTACTTTCGGGAAATCCCATGTAAGCTGAAGGTTTCACTTTTCATCATGGCCTCCACTTCTGTAGAGTCCCATATGAGCTATAATAAAAACTCCAAGTGTCCCCCACAAGAACCCCAATGGTAGTCCCCGACATATCTTCCTATATCACCCTCCTTATAGGAGTATAGACTATAGCTCATATAGGGTAGAGCCATTCTACTTTGTGTTATATTTCCAGTTCGTCTCCAGGAACAACATGCTGAATTTTGATGCTTCAACCAAGCTTGCTCCATGGTTGGCTAATGGTTGCTTGGCTGCCTTTAGCCTGGCTCTTCCTACTTTACATTGTTGGGCTTACTGCTCACTAAACCCTAAACCCCAAACCCTAAACCCTAAACCCTAAACCCTAAACCCTAAACCCTAAACCCTAAGGTTAGAATTCACTCTAGGGGGGTTCCTACAATCAGCTAAGGCTGCCTCTCGCCAAGGCAAGTGTTTCAAGCGATGCGGACGCAAGAGATGCTCAGACCTACCCTAAACCCTAGGTTTGGGGTTTAGGGTTTAAGGTTTAGGGTTTAGGGACCCTAAACCCTAAACCCTGCGCATGAAGCCTCCTGTGAGTAGTGTTGCAGTTGGGGATGCTATAGGTCCCTGTATGAACTATAGCCTAAACTCTTTAAAGGGGGCTATATAAAGATTATATAGGTGAGCATTATAGGGATTATTAAGGGGGATACTAGGAGTGTAGACAATGGCTCATATGAGCTACTGCCATTACCCTTAACAGTGGACATGGGGTCCGTCTTGTAGTCAGGCAGTATAATCCTTCATATAGTCCCTCATAATTCCATGAATAATGTCAGTAATATTGACTGTAGTTCATATAGAGTCAGATTATCTCAACCTTCATTAGTTTATAAGAAAATAGCCTTACTCCGTTCAAGCACTTTCGGGCTTCCGTGTTGGTTTGGGGGAGTGTAGCGAGGATACTTATTCATAGTCAGTAGGGAATGAGGGACTGAGGCTACAGGGACCACTGTAGGAGTTAGAATTGGGATTCCTGAGCAACCCGACAAAACCATGGCTCACATGGGCGTGTCTAGAGCCACATGCCTTTTCGATTTCGCAGTTTTCCTGTTTACGCGATGGCGGTCAACCAATCGATCAAATCGAGTTGCGATTAATTTTGGACCGTCTTTAAACAAGGGACCCGTTTCAATTTGTTTGGGAAGTTACTCAGGATCTGCTCTTGTTTGAGGGGTTCCGGAATAATGAAAGGTTTTGGGTCCCAAAATAATACAGATAGTAAAAGTGCTTGCCTAACTTAGGTTTGCTTTAGCTAAGAAAGGTTGAACAGCTTGCATCAAAGAATCTTACTTTTGTATTGAGGGCCCTTACAGTTTTAGTTGCGCGACAAATTTGGGGGGTGGCTCATTATTAAAGAGAACAGTCAATTCTTGTAAAAGGAAGCAGGGGTCAACACAAACGTCGTGTCCAAAGGGTGGAACACACAGTTTTGCCCTCTCTAAGTCCTAAGGTCCTAAACTCTGAAGCCCTCAAACCCTAAACGCTGTACTACAGTCATCCAATGCTTCCTTCCCAAACCCCAAACGCCAAACCCCAAACCCTAAACCCTAAACCCTAAACAAGGATGACAGTTGCAGCCACTCCATCCACTTACTGGTTGCTGTTTGCACTGCTGGTGCGCGACTTCTTCCGCTTTATGGCAATGAAGGACTTGGGTTTAGGGTACATTACCCATTGGGGTACTATTAAGGTTATATTGGGTTTAGGGTTGAGGTTTAGGGTTATATTGGGGTTATACGGGGATAATGGAAAATAAAATGGAAACTATTGTTTAGGGTATAAGGTTGCGGGATATGGGGATTTCCCCAAATTAGGGGTACCATTTTGAGGGTCCCTATAATAAGGACTATAGTGTATTGGGGTCTATGTTAAGTTGGGGTCCCCCTATTTAGGGAAACCCCCCATGAAGTACGGCGACCGCATCTTCTTCGCAGCTGGCATCACAGGAAAGAGACTGCACTGGTCTGGCGGAGATGCTGAACCTCGCTCTTTAGGGTTTAGGGTTTAGGGCATATTTTGGAAGAGTGGAAGCGATCCCTGCAGTAGTCTCGATATAAGCTGTAGTCTAAACGCCTGAAAGGGGATTATATAGGGGATTATATAGGGTACTGCTATAGTGGTTATTAAGGGGGATACTATGACTTTAGACAATGGCTCTTATAATCGTGCCATAACTCTGGGTAGAATCCGTGGAAGTTATTCCTCCCATTCCCAACTTGGCATGAGTGAGGAGTTCGGCATCTGGGCATCTGGACAGACGGGATACCCGCTTGTGGATGCGAACATGAGAGAGTTGAGGCAAACTGGATGGATGTCAAACCGTGGCAGGCAAAACGTTGCGTCCTTCTTGATTTGGGACTTAGGGGTGGATTGGAGACGTGGTGCGAGATGGTTTGAAACGCAGTTGACTGATTATGATGTGACCTCTAACTGGTGCAACTGGGTTGCAGCTGCTGGTCTGACTGGGGGCCGCATCAACAGGTTCCAATGGCAGGTTTGAACAATTTCTTAATTTTACTATATACCCTTAGACCCTAAACCTTATACACTAAACCTTATTCCCTAATCCCTAGACCCTAAACCCTATACCCCTCATCCCTAGACCCTAAACCCTATACCCCGAATCCCTATGTAATCCCTCACATAATCGCCAGAGAGGATGATTGTTCATCTGTTCCCTAAGCCTTCGGTAGGTTCAACGTGGTTCGACAATCTTACCAATACGATGCCGGAGGTGGGAACTTGACAAATCCAAGTCCCTTTATGGTTTAGGGTTTAGGTTTTGGGGTTTAGGGTTTAAAGGTTTAAGGCTTATGGTTGAGGGTTTAAGGTTTAGGTTTTGGGATTGAGGGTTGAGGATTTAGCGTTTTAAGGTTTAGAGTTTAGGGTTTATTGTTTAGGGTTGAGGTTTCAGGGTTCAGCGTTAACCCTCGAAAGCCCTTCTGTATTTCCCACATATGAAGTCCCGAAGTTTCGAGAAAATTTCAGGTGATTACCTCCGAAAATGGCTGCCTGAACTGCGAGCTGTGAGGGAGGAAGGGGTTCATGAACCCTGGAAGTTGCCACCGGAAGCCCAAAAGCTTGTGGATGGCTATCCGGCTCCCTGCGTTGATCCAGAGAAGTTCTTGCTGACTGCAAAGCCGGCTAAACCCAAAGTCAGGGACTCGCAGGAAAAGAGGGGTCAAGGGCTTGGAGTTGCAACATGCTGCACTAATAGAAGCCATGCCTTACAAAACGCTGTCATATTGGGTATGTTCACTTTTTCGTGGGAGGGGTTGACATTACCTGTAGAGGGGATCGGTATGCACACCAGGCATTTCCTACTCGATGCTGCAACGAATTGTAGCAGCCTGAATGATGACCAATCGCATTCTCTAGCGATCGTGAAGAAGTATGGTCTGATATACCCTAAAGACATGCTTTAGTCATTTGTTTAATGCCAGTTTCAATTCCATTTCCCATCGGATGTGCTGGTTCTTCATCATTCTCAGGGTTCAGGCCGTTACAGTATCTGGAGATAATCCTTATATAGCCATGCTATGATATCACGTTGCGTACTCATCATCCCCGCAAGATTACGGTAAACTCCCTCCAAGGCCGCAAAACCAAACCCTAAAGCCTAAACCGCAGACCCTCTAGTAAACCGTTGCCCCAAGGCTCTGGCGCAAGCCCGGAAGCTGAAAAGCCGAGCCCTTACGGTTTCAGGGTTTGGGGGCATCTCGCCGCACGGCGGCAGGAGATGGTGTGTGGACCACAGCACATCCAGCTGTGTGGGGGTGGGCAGGATATCTTGTAACAGCACATCTCCTATATCCAACAAACCAAAACTTTGTGTGTTGGTTTACTCTTCCCACCGCCTGCTTACGCAGGCATCTGCTCAACTTTATTTCTTTTCGGTTTTCCAGCTGGTGCAAAAAGCCTTTGCTATTCCGAGCACCGCGCCCCCGGACAAGGAGGACCCCCCAAACACAAGGCAAGAAGAAGACCAACTTGATTGCTATCCGATAAGACATAGAGACGCATGTATCTATCCATCGTGGTAAAGACATATGGCGCGCTCTTTCCCTGCACTCATTTTTGCGACAGCATCTCTTGTCTCAAGTGCTTAGCGTTATGTCATGAGCCCCATGCTGCCTCCAGGGAGGTGTCTGCGCTGGCGGGACATGAGTAGAGAAGATGTTGGAGGAAGAGGCTTGGAAACTAGGAGGCTCTGAGAGGCCTTCTGGGAGGCCCTGAAAGCCGTGAGTAGCTGCCGAGTGTAGGAACCCTAGAAAAGGGTGGATGGCCTCAGCAGGCGTGGGTGTGAATTTAGGGTTTCGGTTTAAGGATTTAGGGGTTCCAGGGTGCGGGGGTTCAGGTTTCAGGGGTTTAGGGTTTCGCGTTTTCGAAGGGTTTACGGCGCAATCATTGCTTCCTGCTTCCGGAGTGAATCCATCTTACCTGTAAGTCTCCACAAAAGTGGGTCTTGCTTTATACGCTAAACCCTCGACCCTAAACCCTAGACCCTAAACCCTAGACCCTAAACCTGCGTTGTAAGAAACCCCCACGCACGGGATCGTGAATTCTGGGAGTCGCTTCTAAACTGACCTCGGCTTTGGAAGGAATGGAGGAATAGATCTTTATGCTGGGAAGGCCCCTGGGGATATTTAATATTTTCCCTAATGGTTTTAATAAGGGACCCTATATATTAATATTTTTCAAAGGGTTTAGTGGCCAACCCAGTATGGCAGTCCCTAGAGAATCCCTCCAAATATAGGAGTTTCCATTTTCGTTGCCATTCCTTCGTTCCCTGCTAACCAGCGTAAGTCACACAACCTCTAAAAAAGGACGAGTTTCCGTTTCACTTTCTCTTTTCTTTTCCATTTGTTTGAGGTTAAATCCCCAAACGCTAGACTCTTAAGCTTCCTTTTTATTTTCCTTTATCCATATATACTTTATGTACCCCACGGAACCCCCATAATCCCCAAATACATCTGAACCCAAAACCTCTAAGCCAACCACGTGGTGACTACTTCCAAGGTCTACACCATATCAAGGAAGCCATCGAAAAAGCGCATGAAGTCGCTTGACGGCTTCAACTGGTTTAGGGTTTAGGGCATGAGCGTTTGAGTAGAACATGATATGCAAGCTACTGTACTGCTTTGGCTTTGGGGTTCAACGTCTAGGGTGGTGAGGAGGGAATCGAGGGATAGATTTATAGCAACACTTATGTACTCCACCCAGAAATGGTAGCCGCTTTCTTATCCATTCCTTCCTTAGTCGCTAATAATTAGCAAGTTCATTGCAGGCCGGCCTCTCGCACATGGAAATGAAGCCCACGCTCGATGCTTGCAGCCAAGTTGTTGAGTCCCAGCTTGCACCAACCATCTGGAGTACTGATTTTCTCGAGGTACCAGGGTAATCAGGAACCTGCACGATGTTGAGTATACACATTCTCCACGGCTTTCAGCAGATGCGGCTGAGCTGGGAGGCACAAAAAGACATCAAGAAGCGCGATGAGGACTATGAAGAACAGTTAGTGACATTTCAATGCTGCGTTTGCTTTTCATGCCCCTAAACCCTACACCCCTAACCCCTAACCCCTACACCCGCAATCCCTACTTGTAACCCTTAACCCCTAAACCCTAAACCCTAAATCCTACACCCCTACACCCCTACACCCCAAAACCCTAAACCCCAATGGGCGGCATTTGGAAGGCTGCAGAGAAGCTGGAGGATGCAGTCGATGCTCGGGATGCCGGCCTGTCACGATTGAGGGTTTGGTTTAGGGTTTAGGATTTAGGGTCGAGGTTTGGGGATCAAGAGGTTAAGGGTTTGAGGGCTTAGGGTTGAGGTTTGAGGGCTTAGGGCTTAGGCTAACGGGGTTTGGGGTTTAGGTCTAGGGTGCAGGGCTAAGTCAGGGTGGTCCTAAAGGGTCAAAAGTGGAGCTTCGCGACATCAAAACAGCTCCACCAAACAACTCTTTTCCAGAAGTTCCTGTAAGGTTCGTCCATGGCTTGCGATCCTGCTTGGAATAGAGCCAAGATTGACACCCCCAGGAATTTTGTCTGGTATACTTAGGGCACTTGGTGGAGTCATGTGGGATTTACGTAGCCCATGAACAGTAAGATCACAAGATAAGTCAGGGCGAGAAGCTTCGATGGGCCATCAAGTGGGCGAAGGCCAGAAGCTTGGTGCTTTTTTTTGGTTCTGTGCGTATGTGGCTATAGACACACATGTGAAGCCTAAGGGGCCTAAACCTTAATCTCTAGACCCTAAACCCTAATCCCTGGAAAAGCAAATGGAAGAGAGACAGGAAAACGAAACGGCAACTGGGAGTATATGGGTTTGGTCTTATTGATACTTCAGCTTCTGCATAGCCTCGGATACCTTAGGCTTGAGGAGTGAGATTCTAGTGGGGAAAAGTCGAACGGTGCCCCAAGGAACCCCCAACGTAAAGTCAATAGTTTGCCACTTGCTGATGAGCGTCAAAAGCATGTAGGAGGTTTTGAAAAAGAATCCCTACAGAATACCAAAATGGGACCTTTATAAGCCCTTTACCATCTCTATGTCCTCCCGGTCTTCAGGGTACGCCATTTGCGTGAAACCCCACAATTTGTTAACATTAAACTCACAACCTTAAACCCAAAACCTTAATCCCTGAGGCTGTGCCCTTGGCTTGCCCTAAACCCAAAACTCCCCTTGACGCCCAGCAACCAGCAAAGCAAGGGCAACCAAACACAGTCTACTCAGAGGTTCAGGGTTTAGGGATTGGGGTTTCTGGATGAGGGTTTAGGGATGAGGGTTTAGGAGGTTCCGAATATGTATAACCTACTTATGATTCTACTTGAACCCCAGTATAAGCACCCTGAGTCCCCTAACAAGGGTATAACTGGTCTACAGGTTCTGCTATGATTGGCTTTAAGCTGCATTACAGCTACAAGTAGGGTTTAGGACGATGCGTGGCCTAGGTTTTACATTGGGTGGACCTCCCACCCAGTAATAGTGACTATAAGGGATAATAGGGATTATACCAGGGTCCTCTTATATTAAAATTATACCACTATTGCAGGGTGGGGGGTCCTCCTAAGTTTTACAGTTTTAGGCTGGGTGTTTTGGGTTTTTACGGTTGAGGGTTTAGGGTTGAGCGAGTTGAGAATCTTGGGGTGGTGTTCCATCAGCCTCGGTGAGTCATCATGCCACTTGGGAGTTTCTAAGAGTTCACGCGGCCAAAAAGAGTTTGTCAGAATCATCAGATTCAGCAATAAGGACCCCCCTTAATCCCTCTGTAATCCCACAGTTCCTAGTTTGGGGATGGTTTCGAGAAACTTGCGAATGGTAATGCTATCCCCAGTCTAAGTGAGCCAGACACAGTCCCAGAGCTTAGGGTTTAGGGTTTAGGGATTTAGGAGTTTGGGGCTTCTGGTTTAGGGCTTAAGTGAACCCCCACCCATTAACTTGTCTCAGGGTCCCTATACATTCCTATCATACTAAACCTTAAATCCTAAACCCTAAACCCCAAACCCCAAACTCTAAACCCTAAACCCGGGGTGTGTGGGAGATGAGACTTGAGGATGCAAAAGTCGACGAAGATGACATCGCCGATGCTGAGGAGGCAAACCTCGAAAAAGCGAGGGGATCTGGGCTTACTTGGAGGGTCAGGGCGACTTAGTACATAGGTTAACAACGGGGTAATTAGGGTAACTGTATGGGTTATTGGCGTTATTAACCTACTTACTCAGTCCCCCTGACCCTCCAAGTAGGGTTTAGGTTGGAACATAAGAGGTGCACTTCCACATGCATGGATGCCGTTGCGGAAAAGAAGAAGGTCCCAAACGTTCACGTTGGTTTGGGGGAGCGTGCGGTTTGAGGTGGTTCTTCTGGTTCCCAAAGCCCGAATCCTGAAACCATAAGCGCTGAGGTCATGCAAGAAATCGAAAGGCGGGAGACAGCACTGGCAAAGTTGCAAGCTGCTACTTGTCTGGAAGCAGCCGTCGGCCATGGGGAGCGTTTAGGGTTTAGGGTTTCAAGGGTTATCTCGGAATCCCGGTAGCGGCACGCCTTTTTTAGAAACAACCTGCATGACCTGCAAGTGTTATGAGAGTGGCGCAGATAAACGATCAGTGGTCCTTCCGCTGTGGGTTCCCCTATCAACCGTAGGGTTCCCTTCCCAAATCAGCATACCCTTGGGGGAGAGGCATAGGGGGGATGATAGAACCCAAAACCCTAAGCCCTAAGCCCTAAGCCCTGAAGCCTAAACCTTCAACCCTAAACCAACCTGTGATGCTGCAGCTTGAGCAGAGCTTGCCCCACTCCATGGGCCGGGCTGCAGATGAGGGTTGTTTCTTCGTGGTTTAGGGTTTAGGTTTAAGGGTTCAGGGTTTGAAGTTAAGGGTTAAGTGTTTAGGGTTTAGGGACACTAGTCAGTAGTCTGGCTGGCTGTTAG